TGAGAACCAAAATTGTGGCAAAATATCAACAATCTCAAGGTTACAAGTCCATCTCCAGAGAACTAGATTTGCCTTTGTCCACAGTGCGCAACATTATCAAGAAGTTTGCAACCCATGGCACTGTAGCTAATCTCCCTGGTCGTGGACGGATGAGGAAAATTGATGAAAGATTGCAACGCAGAATAGTCCGGATGGTGGATAAGCAGCCCCAAACATGTTCCAAAGACATTCAAGCTGTCCTGCAGGCTCAGGGAGCAGCATCAGTGTCAGCGCGAACTATCCGTCGACATTTAAATGAAATGAAACGCTATGGCAGGAGACCCAGGAGGACCCCACTGCTGACACAGAGACATAAAAAAGCAAGACTACAGTTTGCCAAAATGTACTTGAGTAAGCCAAAAGCCTTCTGGGAAAACGTCTTGTGGACAGATGAGACCAAGATAGAGCTTTTCGGTAAAGCACATCATTCTACTGTTTACCGAAAACGGAATGAGGCCTACAAAGAACAAAACACAGTACCTACGGTAAAATATGGTGGAGGTTCAATGATGTTTTGGGGTTGTTTTGCTGCCTCTGGCACTGGGTGCCTTGACTGTGTGCAAGGCATCATGAAATCTGAGGATTACCAAAGGATTTTGGGTCGCACTGTAGGGCCCAGTGTCAGAAAGCTGGGTTTGCGTCCAAGATCCTGGGTCTTCCAGCAGGACAATGACCCCAAACATACGTCAAAAAGCACTCAGAAATGGATGGCAAAGAAGCGCTGGAGAGTTCTGAAGTGGCCAGCAATGAGCCCAGATCTAAATCCCATTGAACACCTGTGGAGAGATCTTAAAATTGCTGTTGGGAAAAGGTGTCCTTCCAATAAGAGAGACCTGGAGCTGTTTGCAAAGGAAGAGTGGTCCAAAATTCCGGGTGAGAGGTGTCAGAAGCTTATTGATGGTTATAGGAAGCGACTGATTTCAGTTATGTTTTCCAAAGGTGTGTGCAACCAAATATTAAGTTAAGGGTGCCAATACTTTTGTCCAGCCCATTTTTGGGGTTTTGTGTGACATTATGTCATATTTTTTTTCTGCCTCTGTTTTATATTTGTTCCAATACATACAAAGGGAATAAACATGTGTATAGCAAAACATGTGTTAATGCAATACCTTTTTTGTGTGAAATACTTGATTTTCAGGAAAAATATCAAGGGTGCCAACAATTTCGGCCATGACTGTGTATATGTTCCCCTCTTGGGACATTCACAATCTCAGTTCACCCTGGAGATCATTATCACTGGGGCTAAATGTTATGAGTAATTCCTGAATCTGAACTTTTCATCAAAATGAGAATAAAGGGGATATCTTCTGATGGGGATGCCTGTTTTGGTGACAACTCTTGAGGAGGGAATCTCCCATAATTTCCAAAGATTTCTTCTAATTGCATGTTATGTGTACATGATAGAAAGTAATGAGAACTTTCTTTATTGGGACACAGAAGGAAAATCATACTCACAAAGGTTACAAACATTTCCTTTCCTATAAAAAAAGGTTTGGCTTTAAGTATAATACATGTACACAAGTAAACCAAACATTCTCAATGTGAAGATCGAGGTCCCTTCTCTTGCAGTTCTTTTCTTATCATGTCCTTATTGCTATGGCTTTGGCCAGTTAAAATGAGTTGCCTGCCTGCACCAGCACGCCTAGGCCAATCAAGTTGAATGGAATCCTTCTTGGGTATGTCCCATTCATGTCTATGGGAGGTTGGAGCAATGCACTAAGGAAGGTAGAGGGGAGGGACGGGGTGACTTTTTTGTTGTACAGTATATTTAATGTATCATAACTAAAGGACCTTTTCTAAGGCATGGGGGTGTGTTTATTTGCATTTTACTTTTTCTGGAAATAAGCAACACAGAGTATTTTTATACCCATGTCCTCCTTTTCCCAGAAGGGTTGGATATCTGGGAACCCTTATTTTTATTTATTTATTTATCGAGTTTTATATAGCGCCAAAGGGTTTGCTCAGCGCTGTACAATAGAGGGGGGGACAATACATGGCACAGTACAGTAACATCAAACAGCACACGAGGGGTTAGAAGGCCCTACTCTTTCGAGCTTACAATCTAGGAGGGAGGGGTAGTGGTACAGGAGGAAATGGCTGTGGGGGATGGAGTGGTAGGAGGAGGGGGAATTATTATAAATTATAAAGGGGCTTCCAAAATCCACTGTAAGCCCCCTCAAACATCCCACATCCTTTTTGAGGAATGTAGAAAGGGGCCCTTGTGACCTCAGCATTGGGATAAGGTTGGTTTTGAATCTTATTCTGGCTTGCAGCTTGGGTGGATGGGAGAAGAAGGGATGCAAGCGTGCCACTCCCTTCCAGTACATGGCCTGATGTCTTTTAAAATTGGGGGGGGGGGGGTACCTTGCAAGGGGGTTGCAAGGTACTCAATTTTAAAAGGCATCTGCAATACTGGTGCAGAACTCAATATATACACACATTTATGCCACCATAGCAAGACCCTGATTGCACCACTGCATTTTGTAGGCTGTGCTGTACATCTCAAAGGCCTGGCCTGTTTATTGTCTCAACAGTTGTTGGTTGCTATGTAGTTCTTTGAGGTGGGTTCAGATAAAATGTTAGCCTTATATAACTATATAAAAAAAAATCAAAATACAATACCAAGATTACTTCACCATGCTTTATGCCCAAACATAGTTTTAGCGTAGTGGTGAGAGGGACACAAAATACAACTTGTACTGTATATGGACAATAACACTTATGCTGGCCATTGAGGGATACAAAATTGGTCAGTTCAGCAGGGACTGGCTGAATTTCAATCCATATGTGGCTGTCCCCATAAAAAAAGTAGATTGGAGAATGTTGGAAAACATTTTGTTGATCAGCAGCTGAATATTATTATTATTATACAGGATTTATATAGTGCCAACGATTTGCTCAGCGCTGTACATTATAATGGGAGACAATACACGAACAGTACAGTAACAATACAATACAATACATGGGGGTTCGAGGGCCCTGTGCCTTGGAGCTTACAATCTAGGAGGGAGGGGAGAGTGGAGTGGTACAGGAGGAGATAGCTGTGGGGGATGGAGTGGTGGGAAGAGTAGAGGAGGTCGGGAATTAGGTGAGGGCGGGGTCATAGTATTACTGATCATATTATTCTGACAGCAGCGGAGTCCCGCTGTCAGAATAAGATGTCGCAGTCAGGAAGATTCCTCTATGCGCCTCATTTGGATGGATGGAGGAATTTGTTAATTTCTTTTTTTTTTCGATAAGTTCGCTGGCTGATCAAAATGTAATTATCAATGGGCAGCTTGTGGGGAGGTGCAGCATGGTGCGGCAGCAGTGAACGCACGGAGTCATATTGCAATAAATGTGAAACTTGTATTGCACAGAATGCCAATGTTGCAAACACCCCAATGGGAGAGTGCCTCTTAGGAAATAATCACAGTTCATTTGTGTAGTTCAAGATGTGGCTGAGGAGAGATGCCGACAATGTCTGTCTCAGAGGTTGGAGTGAAGCTTGGCTGGTCCAGTCCCAAGTGGGGAGGTTTCCTTTCCAGAATAGGAAATCCTTAACCTGTCTCTTCTTGTTTGGAACCTTTCTCTACCACTAAGTACTTTCCCAGCAAAGCAATGACTTTCCCCCTACAGTAGACACTTACAAAATTCTTACAAAACCCCAGGGGCAGGGACCTATCTAGACCCTGCTGACCCAAGCTGGCCACAAAGGGTCCCAAGGCTGCAGCATAGCCAACCTGAACGCTGCTCCATTGACCCAGGAAACCATACAGAATCTACTTTTCCCTTGACTTCCTCTCCAGGCTGTGGTACCACTCAAACTGAGTGCCGCCTATACTGGAGAAAACAGACTGCACCTGTCTGCACTCCCCCTCTCTTTAACAGATGCTGTCCTCAGCATTGTAACACAATAAAAGGCAGCACAGTGGCTAAATGGTTAGCACTTCCGCCTGGCAGTACTCGGGTCATTGGTTCAAATCCAAACCACGACACCACCTGCCTGGAGTTTGCATGTTCTCCCTGTGCCTGTGTGGATTTCCTCAGGGTACTCTCGTTTCCACCCACACTCCAAAGACATGCTTGTAGGTTAATTGGCTCCTGTCTAAATTGGCCCTAGTATGTGTATGTATGAATGTGAGTTAGGGACCTTAGATTGTACGCCCCTTGAGGGTTAGGGACTGATGTGAATGTACTATATATACACTATATTGCCAAAAGTATTGGGACACCTGCCCTACCACACGCATGACCTGTAATGGCCTCCCAATCTTAGTCCATAGGGTTCAATATTGAGTTGGCCCCGCCCTTTGCAGCTATAACAGCTTCAACTCTTCTGGGAAGGCCGTCCACAAGGTTTAGGAGGGTGTCTATGGGAAGGTTGGACCATTCTTCTAGAAGCACATTTGTCAGGTCAGGCACTGATGTCGGGGGAGGAGGCCTGGCTCGCAGTCTCCGCTCTAATTCATCCCAAAGGTGTTCTATGGGGTTGAGGTCAGGACTCTGTGCAGGACAGTCAAGTTCCTCCACCCCAAACTGGCTCCTCCATGTCTTTATGGACCTTGCTTTGTGCACTGGTGCGCAGTCATATTGGAACAGGAAGGGGCCATCCCCAAACTCTTCCCACAAAGTTGGGCAGCATGAAATTGTCCAAAATGTCTTGGTATGCTGACACTTTAAGAGTTCCCTTCACTGGAACTAGGGGGCCAAGCCCAAACCCCTGAAAAAAAAACAACCCCACACCATAATCCCCCTCCACCAAACTTTACACTTGGTGCAATGCAGTCAGGCAAGTACTGTTCTCCTGGCAACCGCCAAACCCAGACATGTCCATCGGATTGCCAGACAGAGAAGAGTCAATCATCACTCCGGAGAACATGTTTCCTCTGCTTTAGAGTCCTGTGGTGGCGTGCTTTACACCACGGCATCCGACGCTTTGCATTGCACTTGGTGATGGAAGGCTTGGATGCAGCTGCTTGGCCATGGAAACCCATTCCATGAAGCTCTCTACGCACTGTTGTTGGGCTCATCTGAAGGCCACACCAAGTTTGGAGGTCTTTAGCTATTGACTCTGCAGACAGTTGGCGACTTCTGCGCACTGTGCGCTTCAGCATGCGCTGACCCTGCCCTGTCATGTGACGTGGCCTACCACTTGGTGGCTGAGTGGCTGTTGTTCCAAGTTGCTTCCACTTTGTTATAATCCCACTAACAGTTGAGCGTGGAATATTTAGTAGCCAGGAAATGTCACGGATGGACTTATTGCACAGGTGGCCACCTATCACGGGACCACGCTTGGAGTCACTGAGCTCCTGAGAGCGACCCATTCTTTCACCAGTGTTTGTAGAAGCAGTCTGCATGCCTAGGGGCTTGATTGTATACACCTGTGTGCATGGAGGGGATTGGAACACCTGAATCACATGATTGGGAGGGGATTGGAACACCTGAATCACATGATATGGAGGGGATTGGAACACCTGAATCACATGATATGGAGGGGATTGGAACACCTGAATCACATGATATGGAGGGGATTGGAACACCTGCATCCAATACTTTTGAATTTGTGTCTCAATACTTTTGGCAATATTGTGTATATATATATATATATATATATATATATATTTACACATACATGAAAAAAAGCGCTGCATAAATCGACAGCGCTATATAAGTACCTGTAATAAATAATTATAATAAATAACAATAAATTGCAATAAAACAGATTAAGGCAGAACCAACAACACAGTTAACATCAATAACATAATCAATTAATTTTGCACGTATTTGGCCGTGATTAGGCTGCACAGGGCAGTGTTTCTTTTGGCTTCAATGTGGCAAAGGTTAATTTTCAGATAGGGACTTGGGTGCCACAGGTTGATGAGGGGGTCTTTTGTGTTCTCTGGCTCTTCTTCACCTAGGCCCCAAGTGGGACTTTTCCCCAGACCAGTACTGTCTGTGGTGCTAGATGAGGTGGTGGGAATGCTTGAACATCCAAGCAATCAGGCTCAGGTTCACTGGGGACTAGAAACTCGAGCACAAAGGGTGGCAGGAAGCAGTCAGTAGGTGCCTCATGCACTGGTGGAAGGTCGGCAGCATGGAAAGCTTCTGGGTCATTGGGAGTCCTCTAGAAGCATTCACCACCTAGTACGCAAGGTCTTACCATGTTTCGGTCCAGTCGTTTCTTTACAGGGTCAGACTCCTCAGAGGCAGATACATAAACGGGGTAGGTGGGAAGGGTTGCTTCACCACGTAGTATGAGTTGAGCTCCCACTTAGGCTTCAGCTAGCAGCTAAGGGTGTCTTTTGTGTTCTTCACTTACACCGGGCTGTAGGGGAAACTCCTTGAGGGCGACTAAAGAGATATGTCCTTATGTTTATCCAGCACTAGCTGCTTTTCCCATTGCACCCGCTCCCAACGTTCCTTTACCAGGAGCTGGGGATACAACATGGGAGCTGTTCAGGGGTTCCTAAGAGGAGATCCAGTCTCTAATGGAATAAACAGTTGGAGAATATAATGGGCATCAGATATCCATCTAGCGTAACGGGATAGTTGGAGAATATAATGGGCATCAGATATCCATCTAGGCGTAACAGAATAACCAGTTGAGAATATAATGGGCATCAGATATCCATCCAGGCGTAACAGGATAAAGTTGGAGAATATAATGGGCATCAGATATCCATCTAGGCCTAACGGGATAAAGTTGAAGAATATAATGGGCATCAGATATCCATCTAGGCGTAACAGGATAAAGTTGGAGAATATAATGGGCATCAGATATCCATCTAGGCCTAACGGGATAAAGTTGGAGAATATAATGGGCATCAGATATCCATCTAGGCGTAACGGGATAAAGTTGGAGAATATAATGGGCATCAGATATCCATCTAGGCATAACAGAATAACCAGTTGGAGAATATAATGGGCATCAGATATCCATCTAGGCCTAACGGGATAAAGTTGGAGAATATAATGGGCATCAGATATCCATCTAGGCGTAACGGGATAAAGTTGGAGAATATAATGGGCATCAGATATCCATCTAGGCCTAACGGGATAGTTGGAGAATATAATGGGCATCAGATATCCATCTAGGCATAACAGAATAACCAGTTGGAGAATATAATGGGCATCAGATATCCATCTAGGCCTAACGGGATAGTTGGAGAATATAATGGGCATCAGATATCCATCTAGGCGTAACAGAATAACCAGTTGGAGAATATATAATGGGCATCAGATATCCATCTAGGCGTAACAGAATAACCAGTTGGAGAATATAATGGGCATCAGATATCCATCTAGGCGTAACGGGATAGTTGGAGAATATAATGGGCATCAGATATCCATCCAGGCGTAACGGGATAAAGTTGGAGAATATAACTGCTTGTTCTGGGGACACTTGGCAGGAAGGAGGAGCCAGGATCACCCCAGAAGAGGCAGATCAAGGCTGCTCTGTGCAAAACAGGTAAGTATGACGTTTGTTATTAGAAACAAAAAAAATTTGTAATGACTTATGATATATAATTGATACATACTGTATATAATTTTTTTGGAGGGGGGGCACATGGGGATTTCTTGTGAATTTAAGGTCTTCTGAAAATTTTTTTAATTTATTTGGTTTTTAAGGGGAAAAAAAGATAAACAATTTGAGGAAAACTTATACATTTTGTTCTATTTCTAGCAACGCTAAATATACATTTTGAGCACAAAGCATGTTAAAGTTATTTACAAAATAAAGTTGTTTTTTTAAATTTTGCATGTATTTCATTTTTCTCATAATACATCAGTAATTTAAAGTTCCTACTGATTTAAAATGAAACAGATATACCCTAAATCACGTATTTTTTACAGTAAACCCTTAAAGGTAACAATGTATATACAGTATGTTCTTTTTTTTCCCAACTATTTAAAATGGAAACATGGAACAATCTACTGGAATGAATGGGCTAAAAAGTAAAATAAAGGTGAAATAAAGGCATGTCCGGGTTAGTTAAAATGGAGTTCCAGTCATTTTTGTGTTTATTAAAAGTCAGAAGCTACAAAAACTGTACATAGTTACATAGTTAGTCTGGCTGAAAAAAGATAAAAGTCCAACCAGTTCAACCAACACTCACAGTTGATCCAGAGGAAGGCAAAAAAAACCAGCAAAGCACGATCCAATCTCCTCCTGCAGGGAAAAAAGTTCCTTCCTGATCCCCCGAGAGGCAATCAGATATTCCCTGGATCACCTTTCCCTATAAATATTATATCCAGTTATATTCTTTTAATAAACACACACTCACCTGTCCCAGGGTCCAGCGATGTGCTCCCCCGCGCCGTCCCTTCTCTCCCTTTTCTCTCCCCGGTGGCAGCATCACAACTGTGGGCACCAGGACCTGACAGCTTGTGACTTCACAGCTGGGTGCCCACTGTGCATTCTCATTGGTCCACCAGTCTTCTGGGACCTCTGATGTGTCCCAGAAGACTGCAGGATGGAAGGGTGGGTGAACTTCGGCCTCACTTTGCCATGGCAAATCGAGCAGAAACCTGTCAAAACGATTCCTCCCTAAAAAGTGCCAAATATGTCAGTGGAGGATGGGGGGGGGGGGGGGTAACAAGCGGAGCTTCCACTTTTGGGTGGAACTCCTCTTTAAGGGTTAGTTAGTTCCCTGGGCACACAATAAACATCCTTCTGTGTTAAGCCAGCCACAGACGGCTCCAATCTAAGCCCGTTCGGCAGGGACCAGCCGAGAATTGAACCATGTATGGGCAGGATGAATGTACCCAAGTTGATAGATCGATCTACTTGGGTACAACCAGCCTTCCAGATATTACAGTTAAAGCCGCTAGCAATAATAATGGTGTTCTCCCCCCACCACTGCCACCAAGAGAACAAAATGGCTCCACAGGCGGAGTTCCCCTGTCAGCACTGTCTGGGTTGCAGGAAAGAAATTGGCTCCATCTATGGCCACCTGAGCTGCGGATCTCTCACCGATTGCTGTCTGGCAGGGAACTCAGGAGATACGGCAGCTACTATGTTACTTGTGTTATGGTTTACAAATGTTGCACTGATTGATCACCGTGATTGGCTGTCACAGTGATCATTGGATGAGGAAGGCTTCTGATTGGCTCCCAGTCGTAGTATTAGTAGCTCATCTTTCTATAGACACCAAGGTCTCATGGGACTGTGAATGGGAAGGAGCAGGGGAGAGGAAGATCTGCAGGCAGCCTCCTGAATGTACCGGGACTCCTTGTGTACCGAGGAAGGCATTTTATGGACGTGTGTAACACACCGAAGGTAGGCAACGGGTCATACAGCAAGAAATGGAGAATCGTCTAATAAAATACATAGAAACAGAAAAATAATTTCCACGGTAACAATATTCTTTATTTTGTATGGTGTTTCAGGTTGACTCCACACCCATTGTCACATACCTGGTTAGTGAACCCAATGTGAAGAGGAAGGGCATCTCTTACAGCTCCAGCTCGGGGGCCACTGGTAGTGAGAAGAGCGGCCACGAGGGCATGGCGGGTATGAGTGCCTGTCATCAGTCCAGTAGTCTGGGTGGGTGGCAGTTGTCAGCAGGCAGTTGTGGCAGTAGGACAGGCTGGGGGCAGATGAGCTGGCACGGGGCTTGGCTGGGGGCAGACTGTGGATGTGTAGCAGACTGCGGGGGCTAGATGTGAGCATGCTGGACTGAAGAGCTGCGGCAGGATGGACAGGCAGGATTCAGGGTCACACAAGCCGGGACGATAACAGTCGGGCAGATCAGACATCAGACAGCAGAATAGTCAGGTCACAGGCCGGTGTCAGCAACGGTGAGGAAGATCAGGTGAGAACAGGAGACAGAAGCAGAATCTGGGGACAAGCCGTGGTCAGGGCAGGTGGCAGACAAGTGTGGTCAGGAGCAGAGGTGGGACTCAGGAACAAAGCACACAGAAGCTGTAGACCAAGGGTCTTCAAACTATGGCCCTCCAGGTGTTGAGGAACTGCAAGTCCCGTGAGGCCTTGCAAGACTCTGACAGCCACAGGCAAGACTCCCAGAGGCATGATGGGATTTGTAGGACTGGAGAGCCATAGTTTGGAGACCCCTGCTGTAGACCAAACAGCAATGAGCCAATGCTGCAGCCTTGCCTAAACGTTGGTGTCAGGCGTGCTACTGGTTGTGCGTGTGCGACCATCTGCCAGGCCAGTTTCCGGCCTGCACCATAAAAAGGAGAGAAGAAGCGACATCTATGTGCAGCAATAAAAGCAAATCATTTATTTCCACAAAATTGGCAACTCACAATAGAAGTAGCCAAATGAGCGTCAAACTGGTGTCAACCGCTGTGCAGCTCCTGGCCGGTCCCACTGCAGGCAGGTCTCCAATACACGGTCCTTGGCTGTGCTGGTGGTTCCCAGTACTTCATGCTTGGTGTGGATCTACAGGGCAGATGGGAATGGTGATAGCTCCAGGTACAGCAGCAGTAGGCATGGCACACGATTGGCCACTGATCTTCAGGGACCTGATGACCGGTGCCGATCTGACCGGTGACAGCTGCCGGTTACCGGCAGTACTTTCCTCACGCTGTGACAA